CAAATAATGGATCCAGTAGCATGAACATTTTTCAGGGCTTTGCCTTATTGGCCCGCCGGACTGAGGTCAAGGTGGTCAATTCCCCTGAGAACCCGGCCACCGATGACCGAGAATCTTTTAGGGGAACCCGTCTGGCCAAGTTTTCTGGGATTCGTGGAGGCCGCAGGAGAGGAGGTCCTAGAAGTGAGCCCCGGAATCACTCTCAACTTTGGTCTTTCTCCGACCATGGTCCGGTGATGCTCAGCCCAGAGCTTCCTTCACCGCTGGTCCTGTCCAGCCTGGAGCCTATACCTCACCATAAAGAACGACGGAGAAGGAGGAGGAAATACCCGTCTGCCCAGCGAGAGACTGTTCACGTCCCGTCTGCCCAGCGAGAGACCGCTCACGTCCCGTCTGCCCAGAGAGAGACTGTTCACGTCCCGTCTGCCCAGAGAGAGACTGTTCACGTCCCGTCTGCCCAGCGAGAGACTGTCCACGTCCCGTCGGCCCAGCGAGAGACTGTCCACGTCCCGTCGGCCCAGCGAGAGACTGTCCACGTCCCGTCGGCCCAGCGAGAGACTGTCCACGTCCCGTCGGCCCAGCGAGAGACTGTCCACGTCCCGTCGGCCCAGCGAGAGACTGTCCACGTCCCGTCGGCCCAGCGAGAGACTGTCCACGTCCCGTCGGCCCAGCGAGAGACTGTTCACGTCCCGTCTGCCCGACGAAAGACTGGTCAGGTCCCGTCTGTATCCCTGAGCTGGGACTATCTGGAGCGTCTGATTAAGACGTTGGAGAGGCCTGTCCCTGAGCCGGTGCCTGTCCCTGAGCCGGAGCCTGTCCCTGAGCCGGAGCCTGTCCCTGAGCCGGAGCCTGTCCCTGAGCCGGAGCCTGTCCCTGAGCCTGTCCCTGAGCCTGTCCCTGAGCCTGTCCCTGAGCCTGTCCCTGAGCCTGTCCCTGAGCCTGTCCCTGAGCCTGTCCCTGAGCCTGTCCCTGAGCCTGTCCCTGAGCCTGTCCCTGAGCCTGTCCCTGAGCCTGTCCCTGAGCCTGTCCCTGAGCCTGTCCCTGAGCCTGTCCCTGAGCCTGTCCCTGAGCCTGTACCTGAGCCGGTCCCTGTCCCTGAGCCGATCCCTGAGCCGGAGCTCATATTGGTTCAGGACCCAGCGTTTTTGTTTGTGTTTGTGTCTGTTCTTGTGACTGTGTCTGTTTTAGTGTCAGTTCCTGAGCCGGCGCCTGTTCCCGTGCCGGAGGCAGAGCCAGCGCCTGTTCCCGAGCCGGTGTCTGGTCCTGAAAGATCTGCTCCGCCCTGGCCGCCCGAGGGGTCCTCCCCGCCCTGGCCACCCGAGGGGTTTTTACTGCCCTGGCCACCTGAAAGATCTGCTCCATCCTGGCCGCCCGAGGGGTCTTCACCGCCCTGGCCACCTGAAAGATCTGCTCCGCCCTGGCCGCCCGAGGGGTCTTCACCGCCCTGGCCACCTGAAAGATCTGCTCCGCCCTGGCCACCCGAGGGGTCTTCACTGCCCTGGCCACCCGAGGGGTCTTCACCGCCCTGGCCACCTGAAAGATCTGCTCCATCCTGGCCGCCCGAGGGGTCTTCACCGCCCTGGCCATCCGAGGGGTCTTCTCCGCCCTGGCCACCCGAAAGGTCTTCACCGCCCTGGCCACCCGAGGGGTCTTCACCGCCCTGGCCACCCGAGGGGTCTGCTCCGCCCTGTCCACCCGAGGGGTCTTCACCGTCCTGGCCACCCGAAAGGTCTTCACCGCCCTGGCCACCCGAGGGGTCTTCACCGCCCTGGCCACCCGAGGGGTCTTCTCCGCCCTGGCCACCCGAAAGGTCTGCTCCGCCCTGGCCACCCGAGGGGTCTGCTCCGCCCTGGCCACCCGAGGGGTCTGCTCCGCCCTGGCCACCCGAGGGGTCTGCTCCGCCCTGGCCACCCGAGGGGTCTTCACCGCCCTGGCCACCCGAGGGGTCTTCACCGCCCTGGCCACCCGAGGGGTCTTCTCCGCCCTGGCCGCCCGATGGACTACGTGTCTCGCCCTGGCCACCCGATGGACTCTGTGTCTCGCCCTGGTCCTCGGTAAAGCCCTCACCCCTTGTTCCTGTCTCCCTTCATGGACCTGGCCCACCATCCCTCCCCCTGATCCTCCACCGTTCCACCTCCCTCCTGAACTCTTGTGATTGTGTTGTAGTTGTTGTCGTGGAGTGTCTGGTAGCCACTCCGTAGAGGGGGGTTATGTCACAGTGTCTGGTTGTGTTTCCTTGTTTGTCCACTAGATGTCCTCCTTCCCCTCGGTGTCATGTAATTCTGGAACTGCATTTCCCAGCATTCTGTCTGTCACTGTCACTCATCAGTTCATTGCACTCAGCTGTTCCCTGTAATCATTGTTCCCAGCTGTTCTGTGTTAGTCTTGTTAGTTCTGTGTATATATTCCCTGTCTGTGTTAGTTTGTGTACGGATTCGTTGCTGAATGTCACCAACACTTCTGAGGTCTGTTTTCTTGCCTGTTCGTGGTTTGTTTCTTGTTTATTGGACTGCTAAAATGGATTTTGACCCCTGCATGGATGACTATGAGTTGGATTGCCCTGATAATAAATATGCTGCATTTGGATCCACCTGTTTCCCTGTGTGTTCCCGTGACAAGTTCTTGACCAGGTTTGCACACACTCCAGCAGGGATTTTGGCCCACTTCTCTATACAGACCTTCTCCAGATCCTTCAGGTTTCGGGGCTGTCGCTGGGCAATAGGGACGTTCAGCTCCCTCCAAAGATTTTCTATTGAGTTCAGACCTCTCCAGGACTTTGAGATGCTTCTTCCGGAGCCACTCCTTAGTTGCCCTGGCCGTGTGTTTTGGGTCATTGTCATGCTGGAAGACCCAGCCATGATCAATCTTCAGTGCTCTCACTGAGGGAAGGAGGTTGTTGGCCAAAATCTTACGATACATGGCTCCATCCATCCTCCCCTCAGTACGGTGCAGTCATCCTGTCCCCTTTGCAGAAAAGCATCCACAAAGAATGATGTTTTCACCTCCATGCTTCACGGTTGGGATGGTGTTCTTGGGGTTGTTCCTCCAAACACGGCGAGTGGAGTTTAGACAAAAAGCTTTATTTTTGTCTCATCAGACGACATGACCTTCTCCCATTCCTCCTCTGGATCATCCAGATGGTCATTGGCAAACTTCAGACGGGCCTGGACATGCGCTGGCTTGAGCAGGCGGACCTTCCTTGCGCTGCAGGATTTTAATCCATGACGGCGTGGTGTGTTACTAATGGTTTTCTTTGAGAACGTGGTCCTAGCTCTCTTCAGGTCATTGAGGTCCTGCCATTTAGTTCTCAGTCGATCCCCCACCTTCCCCGTGATGATGCCCTACGAGGTGAGATCTTGCATGAAGCCCCAGACCGAGGGAGATTGACCATCATCTTGAACAAGATGTGAACCATTTTCTAATGATTGCGCCAACTGTTGTTGGCTTCTCGCCAAGCTGCTTGCCTATTGTCCTGTAGCCCATCCCAGCCTTGTGCAGGTCTACAATTTTAACCACTGATTGTCCTTACACAGCTCTCTGGTCTTAGCCATTGTGGAAAGGTTGGAGTCTTTCATTCGGGTAATTTTGGAGTTAATACAAAATAAAGTAATGAGTGGAGAACAGGAGGGCTTCTTGAAGAGAAACTGACAGGTCTGTGAGAGCTGGAATTCTTACTGGATGGCAAGTGATCAAATTTCTCATGTCATGCAATAAAATGCTAATGAATTAGGCACTACTTAAAAATCATACAATGTGATTTTCTGGATTTTTGTGAAAATGCATTTCTTTTAATTACTGTGATGAAATAAAGCTGTGACCTTCTTTAGAACTGCCTGTAAATTTGCATTGTATTTCACTAGTATTTATTTATTATCTATATTACAAGCTGTGAATTTAACCCGTGACCTTTATGTTGATAGAGTTGTGCTCCAATAGAGTAATAGTTCCCAATTGAAGACTATCAATTTAAATTTGAGTTTGCTTTTATTGACATGACAAATGTTTGACAGTTTTTCCATCAAAATAACCCACTATGAAAGTAATGCAACTTTACACAAATGTATGATAATAATAACAACACTATATAGTTTAGATGACAAATAAAAAAAATAAAAGAATTAATGGATGGAAAAAAATGAATGGAAAAAAAATAAGTATTGGGGGAAAATAATAAATAATTAGGAAGAAGAACAATAGCAAAACTGTTATAGAAACACACCATATTTATGCTAAAACACCTTTTTTATGTATTAATGCAAATATAACACACAAGAAGAAATAAACAACACACATATTCCTACATTTAATTATCAAGAAAAAGTACAATGGGAAGCAATTATATTAGAAACTAATAAAAGGTAAGAGTAACAACAAGGTATCCAACAGTAGAAACAATAAAAGGGAGAAAGGAAGAGTTTTGGTATAAACAATAATGAAAAAGGAGAATGGTAAATATGTTTATAATTATTGTTATATATTGTTTTCTTCTTAATATAGTTTGAAATTGTACCAAAATACAAATTTATTTCTCGCTTAATGAAAGTGTGGTTTGTTGTGTATTTATATTTATGACCTTGTGTTTTCCCAATTTTTCCCAACAACACAAAACTTGTGTTGTCCCATTTTTTGTCATTAATGTAAAAGCCAAAAAGAATATGTCCATAAGATAAAGAAAAGTCAAATAAAACATTATTAGCCTACGGTACTCCAAAAAGACTGAACAAAAAAACAATCCCAAAGGGCCACAAAAGGAAAATGATGTTATTGTTGTTTTCATTTATTTATTTATTTAGTAATGTTTGACAGTGTTTATGTTTTATAAACAATGAACTTATAAAATCTGTATTATGGGCGTCAAGAGTTATCCGAAGGCGTTGCCAAAAAATGAAACGTTTCCTTTTTTGATTGACAAGCAGAACACCCAATAGAATATCACCTTTTATACAAGTTGACCAATGTAAACAGTTGTGGGCGGGAGTTTTAAATTCCCGGTCATTGAGCCGCTGTTTCAGTTGTTCTCGAGATCTCAGCAGCTCACCAGTCAACGACCTGTTTTCTGAACATGCGCTAGCTAAATTAGCATAGAAAATACATTAATCTGCTTTCAGATTTTGCCTTCATTTCGTCGACGTCATAAATGTACGTTTTTAATCGTATGGCTCGTCCCAGCTTAAAGCATTTCCACCAATAACGGGTATGTTGCTAATGTGCTAGTAACCTTAGTTGTGTGTGGACTAGATGCATCTATCGGAAAACGAACTTATGCACATTGATTTATCATCCTCTGTTGTTGCATGTTCTCCTGTAGCCTCCAAACCATGACGAATGATGTTTTTATTATTCCTAATATTGATTTGTATAGTGTTATTATTGTGCGACTAGCCCTACGTTGGTAACGTTAGTCTTTTGGCAAATCTTTAGGGTTAGCAAGTCCTTCGTCATTTTCAACTGACATGCTGAGCTGTTTATTTGTTTGCAACTTATGTTATAAATTAATTCATGAATAAATGAGATTACAAACTCTGTTTATCTAAGACACAAAGAAATTCAGTGAAGTGTAAAGATATAAGGGTGTCATTCATTGAAATGTTTCATGACCTAAATCCTGCCTGTCATGGCAGTGATGAAGTTGACATTTGTAAACGACAGTTCAGTGTGTATTTGACATTAACAGCACTAATATGAAGAATACTGACAACCTTAATGAAAACTGCATGGTTATAATGAACTGTTTCGAATAATAAGACTATCTATATATCTATCTGTAACTGTAATCAAGAAATTCTGATCAGAGCATTAGGAACTGCAATGACCATGTGCAATATTCCTTTAGTTTAGGCTGTCAGTGGCACGCAATGGAGGTTGGCAGTGGCACAGTTGTGCAGGACGAAATGAAATTTCGGGGGGCTGAATTTGCTGTCAAGGTCGAGTTGGCAGAGCGGTTACTAATCGTAGAGATTTCAGATGTTGTTTCAGCAGACCAGTGGAGAGGAGAGTTCGATCCTGCCTGTAAGTTAAGCTTTTAAAACTGACATTCACTGTTTGGTTGCTTAAAATTTTGTTTTATATCATTATCATTTTTGCCCCCTATAATTAGATATTGAGGATCTGACCCGGAAAACTGGGAATTTTAAACAGTTTCCAGTATTCTGTAGCATGCTTGAGTCTGCCGTCCACAAGGTGGGTCCATAAAAAAATCTGATTTACTGTAATGGTGTCTTAATTCTTAATGCTTGTCATGACAGTAAATGCACTAGGGCTGAACAATCTGGGTACCTCTTACCCGCTCATACGCTTTTTATTGTATTCTACAATCTGGTGTGCTGTGCTTGTTTTAGGGCTGCATTATTTGCCCCCCCTAAAATTGGGGGGAATGAAAAATCACACAATGAATCAATTCTGCGAAAATTTTGTGTGGCCCCATAAGATTTTATTTTAAAAAATGCAGTAAGCAAACAGTTGGTTCTCATTACAAATTATGGTGGTGCATGTTCCATTCCCAAATGTATTATAAGCCACTCAAAAGTAGACCAGATGTAGAGATTGCTTTGTGTGGAGCAGAATTTACTGTGAACTGAGACACTGAAAACACCCATTCATGAGCTAGTTGCTTGATTAACAGTGCTACTGTTCACTCTGAAACATGCTTCACAAATATTTCTGTAATTAAATCACAACCTTTGCGATTTGATATCACATCATGCCACGATTTCGGTTGGATTAAAATTAATGTGCAACCCTACTATGCACTTATTGAATTATTGCCAACAAAAAACAATGGCTATGATATCTAATTTCGATATCTAACATATCTAATTATGATATCTAACATCTAATTTGCTTTAATTATCTATTGCAGTCCAGTGAATCAGTGACCCTTGACCTCTTGACCTATTCCGACCTTGAGCTTTTGCGGAACAGAAAGGCAGGTGTAGTTGGCCGACCTCGTGCTCAGCCGCAGTCTCCTGCTCTCAGCGCGAAACGATACCTCATCCTCATTTACACTGTGGAGTTTGACAGGTCTGTGTAGTTTAATTACTCAGTCTACTTTGATCACTTTTAAAACAGCAGTTTTCAATTTATTTCTTTTTGTTTAGGATACACTATCCTCTTCCACTTCCATATCTTGGCAAACCTGATCCTGCAGAGCTTCAGAAAGAGATAAGAGCCCTGAGGGCCGAGCTGAAAACACTGGGTCTGAGAGGAGAACACAAAGCATCAGACCAGGAAACACGCAGGCTCCGTGCAGAGTCAGTTATTTATTTATGTATTATGTAAATAAAAACCGCTTGCACACCTGGGTAGTTGCGGGCAGGTGCACAGGACAAAATCAGCACAATATCAGATCAAATTCCTTTACACTGTTATAGCTTGTAATTTTTTTTGTTAAAGACCTCAAAGTGGTAGTTCAGTCATGACAACTCTCAGAGTGGATACATTCCAACCAGATTTTTTTGGCATGGGCCATACATAGAAATATATATATATATATATATAAAGTATTTCAACATTTTTACCCACTAAATGTAAAAACTGAATTTTGTGCTTACAAATCTTTTTCTCATGTTTTAATGTGGTTTATGTTTTGTCAGGTTGGCTTTGGTGAGAGACGAAAAGGAGGCCTTGGCCAAGGCTTTGGATCGTCTACGGATGGCAGGGGCCGGCTCTACTCCTGGGGCTCGTGGGTTCAGAGATGCAGTGCACAGTCTGGAGGAACAGCTGCTGAAGGAAAGGGCAAAAAGTCAACGGTCTGCAAGCAAGAGGAGCCAGGAACAGCGCCTCCTACTGGAACAGGTGTGTCTAATGATATTATTGTTGTTGTATGCTAATGAGATCTCACTCATGCAAAGTCATTACCCACTTGTATATTCTAATTCATTCTCGTTGGTAGTTGGAGGAACTCAAGGCTTCCGAACGGTCTCTTCGGATACGTGTTAAAAGTTTGACAACTGAGTTGGCCTTGTTACGACGTGGGTAAGCTTAACCATTTGCCATCTGTGCCCTTTTTATTGAATGTATTTCATTATTATTATTTTTTGGGGGGTACATGTTAATCGTCTCATTCGTCCTATTTTGACAGTCGGGCGACTCCAGTCATGTCTGGTCGAAGTGGGCTCAGGTGTGATGGGGAGATTCATCGGTCTTTATCCAGAGAGCGCAGTTTGACCCGTGTAGGGTTAAGAGCACGCTCAGGGTCGAGGGAGAGGATGGAGGACAGGGGTCGGAGGTCAGAGGAGAGAGTTAGGAGGGCAGACTCTTCAGGGGCTCGGAATAGTATCACAAGACCCTCACCATCTCCAACAGGTAAATGTGTGAAGATGGACACAATATCCTTATGGTCAAAGTCTAAAAACAAATGTAGAGGCCCTTATTAGGCCCAATTTGATTCATGTCTTGTTTTCTTTCATGATAGGGTCTCGGAGTTCTCGGTTTGACCCTACAGCCTACATCCAGGACCGACAACGGCGCCAAAAAGAGTCTGATCTGAAGAAGTAAGACCCTTTCACCTTCTCATTTGAAAGCTTTCTAATCTTTTTCCCTACACGCATTGCCCTGTCTGTGAGCAGGTATATGGTGTACTTTAAAAGGTGTAAACCATAAACTCTTTTTGTCCCTTGCATGAATCCATTTTCTCAAATTGTTGATTCTCAGTCATGAATCTTGGCACATCAATGCAAGAAAAAAAAAGTCTGTAGAATTTCATCAGAATCAGATCGGACTGATAAGATCATGAAAGATGAATTTTTGTATGCAACTGAGCCTGTTACCTACTTTTAAAGATATACATGAGGGGATTTTGTTTCCGACAGTCAGAGGAAGATTAGAAGGGACATGTTGCCTTCACCGTCTCTGATGGAAAGAGGGCGTTCACGCTCCAGAGAGCCCGTACCTCAGCTGATGCGAGCAGGAAGTGCTGGCAGGGGGAGGAGTGTGTCTGTGGAGAGCAGGAGGAGTCGGTGTTCTTCTGAAGGATCAGTAGCTGAGTTTGAAGAGCTTGCTAAGCCTTTAAATAGCAGGCAAGTTAATAAACAAAAGCTTGTTGCTTTTCCAAGTACATGTTGGCCAGGTTAAATGTGACGTCAGTGATCAGTTCAGAGAAGCATGCACTTTTATTGATATTTTTTCCAGTTGACCTATAATATTAATCAAGATTTCTTGTATATTATCTTCTAAATATAATTTTTAAAATGACAATTTTTGTACCCTCTGAACCTTAGAATGTACTCTCTGAACCTTAGAATATACTGGACATTTTATGTAAATGTACTGTCACAAAAAATGGCTTTTTTTGTGAAAAAATAAAATATGCATTCAATTGATTAAAAGTGACAGTTAAAAATTGTACATTGTCACACATTTTTTTTTCTAATAAATGCTGTTTTCTACTCAGACACTTGCAAAAAATGTACTGTTTTTATGTAATTTAAAAAAAAATCTAAATGTATGATCAAAATGAATGTGTCGTGTATAATATTGTCTGAAATTATTGCTATTATTTTTAATTTATATTTTTAATTTATTTATTTTTGCAGAGGAAGGAAACTGGCGTATAATGGTCCAGCTGTGGTGAGTAACAATGTGAAATGTTTGTGTACGATTTTGTAAAGATTAGGCCTCAAATAATTCTATAGTTGTTTTTGTTGTTGTTTTTTTGCATTGCATTGGATTGCTCCATCTAGTCCAGAGGAAGACACATAAACAAAAAACCAATGTGTAGCACCCCTGCACAAAGGATGAGAGCGGCAGGTACCACATCATTTCCCTTTTTCTTTTTCATGTATATGCATCTATAGCCAATATATGTAAGCCATTTATATTTCTCCAATTCAGACACTTCAATTGACACGGGTGCTGACTTGTCAGAGATTGACGCTCGACTCCAAGCCCTGCAGGACTACATGCGGGACCTTGACACAGGACACTAATTAATCCCAGTGGATTCAGATGTCAATCTAGGCATTTTGCACAAAGACAGAGACTGGAAAAACTTGGACAATCATTTCTTTGAAACACTGTTTATTTTTTAATCCCTGATGTAGCTTTTGGGCTTGACTCAAAATGCAGTTATACTGGCTTTGTCAAGGGGGTTCTTGTGACTGTTGCCATATCAGACTTGTCCAAAAGTATGACCTCAGGATATACTGTTTTTTAAAAACACATTCCTGTGTACATTTTATGAATTAGTGTTTGTTGACCATTGTTGTTGTTTTTTATATGATTAGTGTGTATGTTTTTATGTCTGTTTTAGATACTTTCACATTTTGTTTTTGTGAGATTCTGACAAACAAAGCTTTTATATATAAAATGATTTTGCAGTTTGTCTATTCTTGAGAGACACTCTGGAATTATATCTTGGCGCAACAGAATGCGATATCCATTTTATTTATATTACATATATATTTATAAATGTTCCCGTAACTAATGCATGGCATGGCGCTAGCAACACCAAGGTTATAGGTTTGATTCCCAGGAACCACATGTAGTGATAAAAGGTATCTTAAGGGTACGTTGCTTTAGATAAGCATCTGCCAAATGCATAAATGTAAAGATGTACATGCAGCAGAAATTTTGTCTTTTGGCCTCTAACATGTGGCCATTTTGCCATTTCTCCCAAAGTCATAATGTGATTCCATCAAAATAAATCTTATAACCAGAATAACAAAAATATTAAATTTGTCTTTAGGTGTGATCACGGGGGCCAGAATTTTTAAACCTTTCTTGATATAATTAAATGCCATAGTTGTCTACTCTTACAGATTAACATCTGCTATGATGTACAGTCAATTTAAGCAGGTATAAATGCTGTCATGAATATAGGCACAGCTAAATTAAGTATTTAGGGGCATTGTGCTTCAGTCTGACTCAAATTAGTTGTTAGTTCAGGAATAAAACTTGCATTCTCATAAATGCAGAGAGAAGAACTTGAGTGTACAGTATGTCAAGATCGTCATTGAATAACAACCTGCATTTTGGTCTGTACTTCAGAACACTGGACAACTGATGAGTCTTGCATCCTTTTTTAAGTATATTATTCTACTGCAAACGTGTCTTCTTTAAAAATATAAATGTGTTAAATGCCTTTTAATCGATTTTGACCAGAAACAAACTGTTTCATCCTGTACTGTGGACGTTAGGTTATTAGGTGGCGCTGTAAATCTGATTGGATGGATTTTTTTGTGGCTCTGTGGCTTTAAAGAAAAGAGGGCGGGGAAAAGCAGTGCAGTGTGTTAAAGCTTTAAAGCGACGATTTGAGCATGAGCAAATAATACTTTGACACTGTCGCATAAATACGCCTGCTCGTTGTTCGTACGTTAATACTTGTGTGTTCTTTAAATCTTTCAGGTAATTCTTATTATAATTCATTTGCAGATGGTGCGAGGGATGTGATCACAGCCTTAACGTTGATAGTGGCCCAATATTGCTTTTATTGTCCAGCTGCGCGACGCGTCACACGCATAAAAGGTGCGGCAGTGCCCGTCAGCGCGAGCCGGTTACGCCTTTGGTTTGGCCCTAATCTGGATAAACCCATCAACAACCTCAATGATTTAGTAGATCAGCAGCAGCGTGATGACTAAAACACCCGATACCCCGGGACCCTGCGCGGTTATGGGTGACGTCCACCACATCCACCCAGAGGAGCCCATGGAGCAGCTCTCCAGACGCACTCGTGTTGCTGTTCCTGAGCTGGTTGTTACCTGCGAGTGTGACCATAGCCCCCGCGGACCCTGCTCAGGCTCACATCAGCCCGACGAGGAGTCCATCTGCTCGGACAGCGGCCTCAGCGGCTCTCCCGCCTCGTCCCTGGCGCTGAGGAAGCTGTCCAACTCTTCCTCCACCGGCCTCTCGCCAGCTTCGTCTTTTGAGGAATGCGAAGAGGATTTAATGGGTTACAGTGACTATAGTCAGTTTCCAGGTGAACCGCTCACGGTAAGAATCCGTTACGATTCTAGTACGTTATTTCTTTGATAGTCATTGCTATCCCAATACACAAAATATTCCAATGTGACAAATCTGGCAGAGGTGTAAAGTGAGTAAGTTAGCTACTTAATTACTAATACTATGCTTGTGTGACGTTATTGTTTTGGCAATTTGTAGGCCTAACTGTTTTCTGTTTACTCTTTGGGGACAAAATACATTACTTCGAGTGCTACAATTTCATTTAAACTTTAAGTACTTTATGCCACCAGGACTTAAATGTTTCCTCACTCACTTAAAAAAAAAAAAAAAAAACACTTTTTTTTTTATCCAAGTGAGACTAACAAAACAATCATGTCCACGTAAGTTGAAACTTTCCTTTTATTTAAACAGCCTCTGGACTTTGACAGTAAATACTGATAGGACATAATTTATTATTATTATTTTTTAAGAATAATTCATCAAAAATAAACATGTCATTATTTTCCCTCTGTCAGTGAGAGAATAGTGACTTTTGACTGGTTTCTCTACAAAGTTTTTGCACCAAATTTACAAGCATAAGAAAATCGAGTTTCTTGTCAATTAAAAAAGCTAAGCAAAGTGTTTGCCTTTGTACAATACTTACTGTACTTTACTGTACTCTACTTCTTTCTGCTATCATGATAAAACTGCAAATGTTTACACTTTTTTAAATTACTGTAAGTGATATTTTATCAAAATATGGTCGTCATGGTAACTTGCAGATGCATTGAATGCTAAGTGTGCACACAGGTGTATGCTGCAGATCAAAATATGCAGTTGAGTAATTCTCATGATAACTAACTGATTAACATTATGGGCTTTGGGTCATGAGATCATGGTTGTAAATGGAGGAAAAAGTGGCCCATTGAGAAACTGCTCTATTGAAACTGAACTTATAAGCCGGTCAACAAATGATGCACCTCCAGCTCTGTATGGTGGGCCTCTCTTGCTTTGTTGTGGAGAAAGTCATTCTCGTCTGACTGGTTTTCCACTAACCGTGAGTGAGTGTTTGAGCTTGGAGAGCAGAGAGGCTTGGAGGATAGTTGCAAACGTTAGAAAGATTTTCACATTGCCTACAGTCGTTACAGCGGCATAGAGTCTTGTATAGAGTAGGGTAAAAAAGGTTGATGACACACCAGCTCAAAGGAATCTTGTAGACTGTTTTCTGACAACATCAAAACGGCGGAAAGGAAGGAATCAACAGATCAAGTCGGTCAGGAAGAGGTGTGGGTGAGCAGCAGAACTAAGAGTCAATGATGTGACACACACTTTTATTTTTATTTTTATTCTGTCCAGATCTTTTATTTATAAAAAAAAATGTCAAATCATTTCACACACATGCATTGACCTTAATACACCTCTTGTATGATGGGCATGTTTTTAATGTCTGCTTAAAATTAATTTTATATTGAATCATATATTTTTTTTGGTGAAGTCAGAGTAATGCTACTGTTCTGATTATGATTAAAAAAACGATTGAAAATTATTGAAAAGTTAGCCATAATCCTTTATATTTTTAATCAACTGCTACACTGGATATTAATATTTGGATTAATTAAACATTAAAATTATGAGGAAAAAGAAAAAAACATTAAGAAACTTATTGACACTTAAAAAACTAGCTAAAAGTAAATAACTAAAATTTAATACATTAAAATATATTTTAACAAATAAAATTATTTTTATTTTTTGCAATATATTATTTAAGCAATGTTCCTTTTGGTTTTGAAATGTCATGTGCTGTGAATCCACAAAAACTTAATGGCATTTATGAAATATTAATTCATGATGATATTAAAAAAGGTTTTTTGTTTGTTTGTTTGTTTGTTTTTACCTTAAAACCTTTTTTAAATTTAATCACTGACATTCACTCACGTGTGTTCAAGTTGTAAAGAAAATGTGTTATTGTTGGTTCTGTCCACACTGGCTCCTCCATTTTATCTGGCGGCGTAACAAGTGCCTTCTGTAAATGTTTTATGAACATCCTTCTAAGATTAGCTATTTCTTAATCACAGCCTCTTGGAATTGCTTGATGACTTTGTTTAGTTTGAGATTGTCGTCAATGATTTGCCACATGGGGAAAAACTCGACCTATGGTTAATGGAGGAGATTGATTTGCACGTTGGAGTTTGAGGTCGAATGAATGCACTCAGTGCCCCAGAGCGGCTTGCTAAGTAAGAAAAAGAGAACGGGAGGCAAGACGAGAAATGACCCTTGTACAGAACCATTGCGGACAGTCGAAGTCGTAGGGTGTTAACTGACATGTCAGTCTCATTTATGTTTGTTTCAATCCTATCTCTTCATTCAAAGGCTGATCTGTGGAAGAAGTCAAAGAATATGGTGAACTGGTCTCCCACTCCAGTGGCGGTGAAAAAACGCTCTCCTTGGGTACAGGTGGTCGGCCATGCAGGTTTGCTTGTTCATCTGTTTATAAGTGTTTTTTTTTTTTTTTTTTTGCCAATTTTTTTTGTGTGTGTATATAAAGCAAATAAACATATATTAATGATTAAAGTCTCTTGATTGAATTTAAATTATTCATTTCCTGAAATTGCATTTGGATCACCTGATAGCATTTATACTTTAATGTTTGAGTCTTAATTTTTATTATTGTTTTATGGTCATGTGAATTTGCTTACACTGTAAAGCTAATGATTTTTTTTTTATTGCTGTTTTCGGTGATTCCCTTTTTGTCTGACGTCTGCATGTTTTTGTTTGTTTCTCCAGGAAACTTTCAGATGGGCAGTGATGGAAGGCTGCTGAAGAAGTTCTGCGAGTGCGAGCAGCAGTGTTTTCTGCAGCTCATGAGCGACTCGCTGCAGCCCTTCGTTCCTGGATACTATGGCGTGACTCAGCGTGACGAGCAGGATTACAACCTCATGGACGACCTGCTTGCTGACTTTGACTCTCCCTGCATCATGGACTGCAAAATGGGAACCCGGTAGGGATGAGTCACGATCTTCGAATGGTCGAATAGTCGAAATGCGTTCGAAATTCGATCATAAAATAGCTTTTTCGAATATCGTTATATTTTCGTGCAATAATTCCAATGTGTATTTAACATAATTGACGCAGCGCCTACTGTCACAGATCGCGGAGCAAAGTATTTTCCTGTTAGGGACACAAGGTGTCACTAACATGCATGAAACCCCCTACTGCGCGATCTAGGATACCAGCATTTTGAACATAGTGTAAACAAACAACAGAAGAAGAGCACTGTCGAAACCTCGTGGCCGTTAACTCTGCGACCAACCATGCAACAACCAAAAAGCTCCGTGTGGACCTCGTTTAAAAAAATTAGCAATGATAAAGTTGAGTGTAAATTATGCCAAGCAAAGCTGGCATACCACCAGTCTACAACGACGATGCATAGCCACCTGAGATCAAAGCACCCGGCAGCTTCATCCTCCTCAGGCACTGGCAGCACCCAGCAGTCAATGGCTAGTTTCTTGGGACGTAAGTTGGATGCTAGGCGCAGTGAGCAGATCACTATGCTAATTACTAAGATGATAGCTAAGGATATGCTCCCCGTCAGCTTTGTTGAAGGAGAAGGTTTCCGGGAGCTAATGAAATTTATTGAGCCTGAATACACCATTCCAACAAGAAAGACAATCACCACCAGAGTAGAAAAAATGCATGGTGAAAGCACAACTGATCTGCGCGCCCGTTTAGCGAGTGTACGTACAGTGTCATTGACCACGGATTCGTGGACGGCACTGACAACTGAATCATATGTTACGATCACTTGCCATTACATGCATAACTGGGAGATGCAGAGTGCCGTTCTGCAGACCAAAGCCATGCCAGAGCGACACACGGCTGAAAATCTGGCACTTGTTCTTTCTAATGCTACAGACCAGTGGGGGCTAACTGGAAAGGTCACAGCCTGCGTGCATGACAATGCCAAAAACATGGTTTTGGCAAACGCTAGCGATCAACTTGAATGGGACTCACAGCCCTGTTTCGCACACACGCTTCAACTTGCAATAAACGACGGTTTCAAACTACCGAACATAAAACACATCATTGGAGCTGCTAATCGCCTAGTGTCCCATTTCCATCACAGCACAGTTGCAACACACGCACTTAAGCAAAAGCAACAACTCCAGAATTTGCCTGAGCATAAGTTAGTGCAATCCTGTAAAACCAGGTGGAATTCTGTATATGAAATGTTCGAGCGCTTATTGGAGCAGCGTTGGGCCGTGTGTGCTGCCTTGTCAGACAGGAGTGTCACTAAACTATCAGATGCACGCACCCTGGAATTGACAGATGATAGTTGGACTGTAATGGAGGAAGTCTTACCTGTGTTGCACTCGCTAAAATGTGCCACCACTGCGTTGTGTGGAGAATATGACGTGTCCATCTCCATGGTGTACCCGGTGACCGTAACTTTACTGTCCAAGCATCTCAAAGAAATCCCAGGGGAGAACGCCAAAGTCAAGGAATTCAAAAGCACAGTGTCTGTCTCACTGGAAAGGAGACTCGGGCCTGCAGAAGTCAGCAACGCGCGAAAGGTTGCATACATCGCATCATTCCTAGACCCAAGGCACAAGCACATGCGACATGCAACAGATTCTGTAAGAGGCGCTGTGCAGGCCAAAGTTAGCGATCTCCTGTCCAGCATTGATAGCGATGGAGACACGGAAGGCGCAGAGGAATCGGGAGAAATGCCTACTGAACCACCGGCGGCTAAAAATCCACGAAATGACGCCCTCTGCTGCAGCGATTGCGGTCTTGTTTGGCGAGGATAACATCGAGCAGACAGCAACAGCGACAACCGAACTCTTGCAATACTGCCAAGACATATGCCCACCAATGAACGCTGATCCCATAACATGGTGGAAGGCCAACGTGAAGAAATATCCCCGCCTGGCAAAGTTAGCAATGTCCTACTTGAGTGTGCCTGCGACATCTGTGCCATCCGAGCGGGTGTTCTCCGCGGCTGGACTAATCGTCAACAGGTTGCGCTCGCGTCTCCTCCCAGAACATGTTGACATGCTAATTTTTCTGAACAAGAATATGACATAAGCGTTATGCTATGCATAGTTTATCTTCATCGAAACGAATTTGTTTAAAAAGTATAGGCTGTTGCCAGTTACAGGTTCGCATAAAAAACATTATTGCATGATATTATTTTTTTGATCTAACGAGCATCTGGTTTGTCGATGCAAAATCGTTTATTGTGCTTTTAGTTTTTTCTTCTTCCAATTAATCTTCTGTGTTAAAAAAATGACGAAAACATGTCACTTGTTCAATTAATAAATCGCCAAAGATGGAATTAGCCTCCCTTTCTGTCATTGTGAGTGTGCGTTTTTTTTTTTTTTTTTTTTTCGATTTTCGAACGATAATCGACCTTTGCTCCTCGATTTTCGAATGCCATTTTTGGCAGAAATTCACATCCCTAGAACCCGGTGAGGATGTTTTGCTTTGTAAATTCAGTACTTATCATATTTTCTTTAAATGGATGATTTATGGGTAGATGCCACAATAATAGAGTGGCACACAAAAAAAATAATGTCATGGCTTTACGGATGACTGCATGAAAACACCATTAGGAAGTTAAGTGACAAACCATAATTATTAGAGCCAGGCCGATATATCGGCAGCTAACCATAAAGCTAGCTAATGCAACTCTCATCAGTCTGTTCTGTTGTGACAATAAATGAAACAAGTTTCTTTTTAAAATGCATTATCATATTATTTTAGTTAAAACTCATAAATAACTACAAATAACTAATGTTAGGGAAATCTGTTAATGTTTTGTTGCGAGTTTCTGAAAAAAAAAAAAAAATCGGCCGATATATCGGATTTTAAAACCAAAAAATATTTGTATCGGTATCGGCCTTCAAAATCCTTTATCGGTCGGGCTCTAATAATAATTATTATTTTTTTCATTTAGACAACAACTGAATCCAAAAATGAAGTTTGAGTAATTAAAGGGATAGTTCACCCCAAAATGATTACTCACCCTCATGTAGTTGTAGCTTTGGGTCATCTCTGGAACACAAATGCAAATGCAGATTTTTGTAATGAATTCCGAGACCTATCTGACCCTCCATTGACAGGACATGATTAAATAATTTTATATGATGAAATTTTTGAATTTTAGTCTTTTATTTACATATGAACCTTAATCAGCGAACAAACAGAAGCTCAACCGAACCTCTTGCAGAAGCTCAAACGTGTTGCGTAACACGAGAGAATGAACCTTGGTTCTTGCAGAAGTTCAAATGTACTGTGTAATACGAGAATGAACCTCATTGGTTCTTGCTGAAGCTTAAACGTGCCGAGTAACACAAGAATAAACCTCATTGGTTCTCGCACGTCAAGCGAACATGCTTGAGCTTCCTTTTACCACAACTGATGTGTGAGGTGATGGCAGTTTATATGTGAATAGAAGCCTAAATTCAATCTGTTCATCATTTATATCGATCATATCTCTTCAAAATATCTTAATTTTATTCCAAAAATGATGACAGAATTTTCATTTTAGGGTGAACGATATTGTGTTCATGAAATAAATACTGACACAGTCAAAATGCATCATCGGAAAAGCACTAATTAAACGTCACTGTTCCAGTAAATGATTTCGGCTCTCCAAAACGGTTTTGTCCAAAATTGAAAATGAATGTTTTTTTTTTTTTGCTTTTTCTGCTAAAGATCACTAGAAATTAAGTATTATTATTATTTATTTTTTGGTTCATCCAAACTTAAATTAGTAACAAGTACTAATTATTATACAAATAGAAAACAAAGTGGGATCTACAGTTTTGCTTTTGGGTGTCTAGTTTTGTGTTAACTATTCAATTGTTCATGTTGTTTTCCTCTATTTTTAGAGGAATGTATTTTAGGTGTTATTGTGAACAATTCATCCGTGCATTTGCGACATTTGCATCTCATAACATGAGAATAATTAGCAGGTTATCGATATCAGATGGAATTTAAAAATCAGTGTATGTCCACTCATATTAAGTGCGTTTAAAATCAATCCTAATTTCTTTTTAAACATTATTTCCTGGCAAACTGACTCTCGATATTTGTGTTGCTGGCAATGGGTTAGAGGTTGTGATTGTTTTCACTAGTACTTCCCACTTAAGCTGACAATTATATAGGGACTTGTTCATGGGGGTGCCAGCTGAAGCCAAGACTACAACACAGTAGACTGTGGTGTCCAAACATAAGAGGAGGAAATATGATCACTGGTTGTCAGCATCTCTCAAATACAAATGACAATGTTTCCATACTAAATAATATTCCTATGCTGATGTTGACATGCTTTTAGGACTTACCTGGAGGAAGAGTTGGAGAAGGCCCGGGAGTGTCCTCAGCCTCGCAAAGACATGTATGAAAAAATGATAGCTGTGGAACCGAACGCCCCTACTGCGGATGAGCGAGCCAGGCAAGCAGTACTCAAAACCAGATACATGCAGTGGAGAGAAACACTCAGCTCAACGGCTACGCTGGGCTTTCGCATCGAGGGCATCAAGGTAGATATGATTCAGGGCCCCTCTGAATTTATGTTTGAAAATGCTTAGTTTTCAGTCTTCAGTCAGTATATTGTCTTGACCAATTTCATCTGTCTTCAGAAATCGGATGGCACTTGTAACACTAACTTCAAGAGAACAAAGTACAAAGAGGAGGTGATCCAAACCCTGGAGGACTTTGTGGACAACAACATGCTAATTTTGGTATGAATTCGTCAATTTTTGTGCGATATATCAAATATTTACAATATATTCATTACTGTGTATCAATTCATCAGTATCTGTCAATAATGTATTTTCAATTGTTCTCATTTTCTGATTTTTTTTACATTTGCCATCATCAAATGATTACTTAAAAGTTAATTTGTTAAAACACTAATATTTTTTAATAACATTGTTAAGTTTATTTTTTTTCATACTAGACTTATATATATATATATTCACTTATTTTTATATATATATATATATATGTATATTATTTTGAGATGTATGTATAATATATATGTGCGTGTATAAACTATTATTTGTTAATTGTAATTATGAAGGTAAACTATTTTGAAAAGTTTATATATATATATATATATATATATATATATATATATGTGTGTGTATATTATTTTGAGATGTATGTATAATATATATGTGCGTGTATAAACTATTATTTGTTAATTGTAATTATGAAGGTAAACTATTTTGAAAAGTTTAAACTATTTTATTCTTTTAAATTACATGCACAGATTTTTTTCATGTTAAATCTGTTTTGGTAAAAATATAAGCAGGTAAATGTAATTATATTGTTATAGTTGTGCATATAAATTAATTACGGTATTGTAGTTTTTTATTCTATTTTGCTTTTAGTCATTTCAAATCAAGTTTTTAATAATAATTCCTGTATGGTTAAAATAATGGTTCCTATGCCTGTGTGTCTTTTAACCAATAATCCATTTGAAAAAACTATTATATAAAAAAGTTCATTGTTAGGCTATTCTGTTCACAGAGAAGCTACCAACAACGGTTGAAGGAACTCCGAGACGTGCTGGAAAAGTCTGATTTCTTCAAAGCACATGAGGTGAGATGCATCTTCATTTGGTTCTTCTTCATTCTACACTGCTGATGTAAAATACAGACTTTAATACGGACGGTCTTGCTCTGTTTGCCTGTAGGTGGTGGGCAGCTCCTTATTATTTGTCCATGACCTCACTGGCAAGGCTGGAATCTGGATGATAGACTTTGGAAAGACTGTGCCCTTGCCGCCCCCTCTCACCCTGGACCATCGCAGCCCGTGGGTGGAAGGCAACAGAGAGGACGGGTACCTCTGGGGCCTGGACAATTTTATTGACATTCTGACCAACATGCTTCCAGAGAAATGAAGGGCATTGTGGATCTGCACAATTGTCATTTTCTGCACAGACAGTCTAATTCCACTCTGTTTTGTCTACGTGGAGAATAGGTGAAGGTTGGAGAGAAATGAAACGATGGAATGGACTGACTGGCCTCAACATTTAATACAAGTCCTGTGAATTTACCTGCTGATGTAGTAAGCCCCTCCCTATTTAATCGTTTTCACTACTTTGGAACGGCTGTATGTATTTTGACACTGTAAATAGAGTTTTATTTAAGCAGTTTGCCCTGACGGGTTGGTGAGTAAAAGATTAGCTTTGTTTTAGGAACATTAACCTTGCAGATGAAAATCATTACAGTAATGTTGTTTTGGCTGGTGCGTGTGAAGATCCATAAAACAGGAGTGCTTTTGATTTACTAATCAACCACCATAGTCTGTTTGTGATAGTTGCCAGATATTTTCCCTTCGTTTTATTTTATATTTGTGACCAAATGGCTGTTTTTTTTTGTTTTTTTTGGCAGTTTTTTTTAGCTTCAGTTCGATAAACTGAAGCTAAATGGAATCGCAGAACAACAAAGACCTCTTGTGCATCGTTGCATAGCTCCCAAAGTAATGAAAACGTGGAAAAAGTGTTTTGTATTTCTTTGTCTTGATCAAGCACCATTTTAATTCACATCAAGCACGGTGAGTTAAGCTAGTTATGTCTCACATTCCTGTTGTGTGATATTTGCATGCACACATGAGCTACGAAAGGGGAATACAGTAGTACGTCATTCTTTAAGCATCTAAATTGCCAACGTTAATATATCAAATAGACTGCCAATTCGACTTGAGAATGGTGTCTGGGATATTTGAGCCAGTACTCCTTATGCACAAAATCACTGTTTGCACTTAATTTGATCTCACGTTATTGAGATTTTGTACTGTATAATAAGTACACGATTGTGGTCGTTTATGTTGGGAGCTTTGTTAACTTGGCTGTATTGGTTTTGCAGTTCTGTTTTCTGGGTTGCTTTGATAACTACAGAATCTTTTTTTTTTCATGCGGGGTAATTTTGTAAAGGTTTTTGAATGTCAGAACAATAAACATGAACATGATTTAATTTTCTTTTTTTTTCCTCGTCTTTCAAAACCATACAAAAGCTTTGATCAGATGACTCGTATTGGTGCGCTATGCACACAGGCACACACATAATACATTTTAGTACAATTTAGAATTGTTTTTATGTTGCTTGTCTGGTTATTTTATTCCCTTTAGGCTTTTATAGATGCTTGACTCCACTATGAAATGATCCAATGGACTCCCAACCCTCCACAAATTGGCTTTATGCACAGCTGCACTACTTCCTGAACTTCAGCTAGCTCCTTGTTTCCTGTCTGCCATTATTGGACAAACTTGATTAATTCAGGTGTGCCTGATTATTGTTGTGACTACTAAGGTCAGACACACCTGGATTAATCAGTTTGGCTAATAAGGGAAGACAGGAAACAAGGAGCTAGCTGAACTTCAGGAATTAGTGGAGCTGTGCGTTAAGCCAATTGTCAAGTTTAGAGAGCTGCTCTATTCCTATGCCAAGAATGTTACGTGCCACCTTTTCAAATAGATGTTTACCTTGGCTGTTGTAGGTAGAGGACTTTTGGCAGTCGTGGAGGTGAAATACTGTAACTTGAGATCAGCATAGGACATTACCCTCATGCTTCGGGTCTGCTGCAGCAATTATGCAATCCATACAGTGCATCCGGAAAGTATTGATAGCGCTACACTTTTCGCTAACATGTTACAGCCTTATTGCAAAATGGATTAAATTGGTTATTTACCTCAAAATTCTACAAACAATACCCCATAATGACAACGTTGAATGAAGTTTGTTTGAAATCTTTGCACATTTATTTAAAAAAAAAAAAAAAAAAAATCACGTTCTTAAGTTCACAGCCTTTGCTCAATAAGCACCTTTTGGCACCAATTACACCCTCAAGTCTTTTTTTGAGTATGATGCCCCATTTTCTTTGCAGAACATCAAGCTCCATCAGGTTGGATGGGGAGTGTCGAAGCACAGCCATTTTCGGATCTCTCCAGAGATGTCCAAGTCTGGGCACTGGCTGGGCCCACTCAAGGACATTCACAGAGTTGTCCCGTAGCCACTCCTTTCTTTTCTTGGCTGTGTGCTTAAGGTCCAGAGCGCTCTGAGGTTTTCATCAAGGAATGTTTCTGTACATTGCTGTGTTCATCTTTCCCTCGATCCTGACTAGTCTCCCAGTTCTTGCCTCTGAAAAACATTGCACACTGAGCTGTGGCTGGTTTCCTCCAGGCATGATGCTTTCCATTCAGGCCAAAGAGTTCAATCTGTGTTTCATCAGACCAGAGAATTTAGTTTCTCATGGTCTGAGAGTCCTTCAGGTGCCTTTTGGCAAACTTCAGGTGGGCTGTCGTGCCTTTTTACTGATTGGCTTCCTTCTGGCCATACAAGCCTGATTGGTGGAGTGCTAAAGAGATGGTTGTCCTTCTGGAAGGTTCTCCTCTCTCCACAGAGAAACACTGGAGCTCTGTCAGAGTGACCATCGGGTTCTTGGTCACCTCCCTGACTAAGGCCCTTCTCCCCCAGACGCTCAATTTGGCGGGGCGGGCAGCTCTAGGAAGAGTCCTGGTGGTTCCAAACTTAGATGAGCCACTGTGCTCATTGTGCTCAATACTGCAGATATTTTTCTGTACCCTTCCACAGATCTGTGCCTCGGAGGTCTACAGACAATTCCTTGACTCATTTAATGACAAAGGCTGTGAATACTTGTGTACTTTTAATAATTTTGCAAATATTTCAAAAAAACTTCTTTTACATTGTCATTATGGGGTATTGTTTGTAGAATTTTGAGGAAAATAATGAATTGAATCCATTTTGGAATAAGGCTGTAATATAACGAAATGTGGAAAAAGTGAAGCACTGTGAAATACTTTCTGGATGCACTGAACATGTACTCTACAGGCTATAAGGTAACTAGCTACATAAGTCATTACGGTGAATGTGATTTCACCAAGTACTAAGGCTGTCAAACGATTAATCGCGATTAATCGCATCCAAAATAAAAGTTTGTGTTTACATAATATATGTGGGTGCACTGTGTATAATTATTATATATATATATATATATATATATATATATATACACACACACACATATTATATATTAAGAAATAAATGTATTTATATATAAAATATTTATATATAATATAAATCTATATACAGTATATACATGAAAATATTTCTTAAATATGTACAAGCATGTGTGTGTATTTATATATATATATTATACATTTTTATTTTGGATGCGATTAATCGTTTGACAGCCCTACCAAGTACAACATTCTCCTGGATCAATATTGCAACCAATCAATCAGATTTGAGGGGCAAGTTTACAGTTTAAGTTTGCTCAAGTTTAGGCATGTTTTCATAACTAAATTTAGGGGGCGTTCACAGCAGCTTTTTCAACACATTTTTTTTTCCGTTTTGGTCGTTCATTTACACAACAATAGTGTTTTGGGGGCCTGAAAACGAAACCATTATCGTGCATATGTAAACATCAAAAATGCGTGTTTGTGAAACCGGTGATGTCATGTGCATACATATTACATGTTCAGTCTATATCTACGTAACTGGCATGAATGGATCCGTGTGAACAGGGATCATTTTGACAATGTTGTCTGTACGCGAAAAATGCAAAGGAAAAACTTTTCAGTTTTTAGTGTACATCTTTGTAGTGTAAACGTACCCTAAATTGGCAAAATCATGGGTGACCGTAACTACTAAATTTAGTTTTGTAAATTGAACTATTGAATCTTCAAAATGAGCTTCCTTGGACTCTGATGCTGTGTACACATTTATTATTAATGTAAATAGGATAAAATGTTTATTAGGAAATAAAAAGGCACTTAACAATGTGGGGATACAGTGGGGCTCAAAAGTCTAGTAGTGAAATACTGCTGTTTAGATTTGTTTTTAATTGTATGTTATAAAAATTTGTTTATTTAGATACATGTGTTGAGTATGATGTGTATATGCTGGAAGCCGCGTACTGAATGTTAATCTTTTTTTCTTAATTTATTGTAGTGCACACAGCAGCATCATGTTGCCTGGAGCAAACAAGCACAGTGCTAACAACAGCCAACAGACCAGTTAACACAATCCCATCCTCTGTTCCATTCAGCTGCTGAAGAGCCCACACAGCTCTTTCCCTGCTTTCTGCGCTAGCTCAGTTGAATTGGAGCCGCCTGTACCATCATTTGTCCCTCCCAATCTATTAACACTTTTCAGATGACTTCAGGAAGGGTGTCTTAAATGAAAATTATTAAGTTTGGACATCATCTTGGCTGCTGCATATATCTTGGTTTCATTTATAAGGATATTGAGGAAAAACTTGGAATCCAGTAAGATGGCTGCATTGTTCTGGGATTTGGATTGCGCTACAACTCCTCCTCAGACACCACCTCTACACTTCAATTCTGAGTTCAGGCATACCAGCCTTGTGAGGTGAGATGTAGGCTAATCTTTTACCATATTTGATAATCATTACAATTTGACCTGGTGAAAATGACCTCATCTTTTTCAGTTCCTATGATCGTTCACCAATGCAAAACAGCTTAGATTGGCCTTCAAGTGGGCAAGTGGAGTTCACAAGATTAAACCGCTCCAGAACTAAAGACAATACAGGTCTGATAGCTGGTTCTGAGTGCTTTTATTAGTGATAAGATTCAGTCAGTATTTCATTTCACTGAGGACAACTTGCCTCTGCAATTTCATATTTCAGAAGGAGAATGGCATATGGTAACAGCCACTCGCTCATTGCTTGGCAGGGAAAGAAGAGGCCAGAGGGATTGTCTGCAGGACCAGCAGAAAGCGACTTACAACAGCTTGCCAAGAGTGAGTTTGAATTCTATTTTTTATGTGATGTGATGTTTTTTGTTATATTATGTTATATTTTATTACAAAACAACAACATAACAAATAACATAACATATAACATGTTGTTTTTTGTAATTATTATGTTCGGTTTCGTTTTGTTATTACGGAGGCGTATTGCAATCACTTGAAGAAAAAAATCTACTCTGTTTTTCTGAATTAACGAGTTAATTTTTCATGAGAAATTTTTTTGCTCTGTTTTTCTGAATTAATAAGTTAATTTTTCATGAGAAAAAAAGTTTTTGCTCTGTTTTCTGAATTAATGAGTTAATTTAGAAAAACAGAGCAAAATATTTTTTTCTCATGAAAAATTAACTCATTAATTCAGAAAAACAGAGCAAAAAAATTTCTCATGAAAAATTAACTCGTTAATTCAGAAAAACAGAGTAGATTTTTTTTCTTCAAGTGAATGCAATACGCCTCCGTATGTTATAACTAGTTGTTATGTTTTTGTTATATGTTGTTACGTTTTTGTTTTGTATTTTTTTTTTGTTATGTTTTTTTTTTGTTATGTTTTTTTTTGTTATGTTTTGGAATGAAGTAAAAATTCCCATAAAAATAAAACGTTATAAAGTAAAGAGGGCTTACTTGAAAAATGTGTGAGTGAAATTACTTTACTTTATTACTGTTTACCATTACTTTTGAATCTTGACAAATCAAGGATACAGCACTTGAAAGATAACTAACAAATCGGTTCATTTGGGCCATTTCTTTAATGGTAATTTATCATTAACTAATTTTTTTCTTTTGTTTCGTAGGCTCATTTTCTCCAGCCAAATAGAGAATCAAGTGCTTTTTCACCCTATGCTAATGACGTCTGGTTGAATGGCAAAGATGCCAAGAACAATGCTGAGGCCCTCAGAAACGGTCGTAAGCAGCACCCGCTGACACAGCCGGGCTTCTATAGTCCAAAAATCCAACGATCGAAGCACTGGGAAGCTGCACAATCCACAGAAAAGTCTTTAAAAGGATCTGCTTCCACAAACAACTTGAAGGAGTTCTGTGCTCTCTCGTTGCCTCTTCCATGCTCCAAAACTTCTGTTCTCAAACCCAGGTGAGATGCGTAAATCTTGTCAAATTTAATGGTTGTATAATGTTTTATACAATTCCTGAGGAAAAGGCGAGATTAAACCAGTATGAATTCCTATGATGGC